CCCATGCTTGTAGGATGTTTAAAGTTATCATTGTTAAGCAAACAAACAAGAGGATGGGCTAGCAGCAAAAGGCTCTGGCTGAGGAAGGCAAGCCAAATGAGGATGTGGACAATGGACAGTCTGTGCCAGAGGTGTCTCACCAGTTAAGGCCACTGCCCGTATCACAATCACATTCATAACAAAAAAAGAAGGGTTATAGTAGTAGGCGACTCCCTTCTGAGGGGAACTTAGGGTCCAATATGTCAGGTAAACCCTCAGCATAGGGAAGTAAATTGTCTCCCTGGAGCATGGGTTGTGGATATCGCCAGGAAATTTCCTAGTCTGGTAAGGTCCTCAGACTATTACCCATTAGCAGTCTTCACTGTAAGTGGAGATGAAACTGCAGTCTGTAGTCCAAGAGCCGTTAAAAGGGACTTCGAGGGCCCTGGGATGGTCAGTGAGGGAATCTGTGGCACAGGTTGTATTTTCATCTCTCCTTCCAGTCGTGAGCAGTGACATTGGGAGACTCAGGTGAATCCAGTCTATTAATAAGTAGCTCCAAGGCTGGTGTCACTGCCACAGCTTTGGGTTCTTTGACAAGGGGATGGCCTACACAGTACCAGGCTTGTTAGCCTCAAATTGCAGTCACCTTTCCCAAAGAGGGAAGAAGGTCTTTGCCCTGATCAACAGGGCTTTAAACTAGTTATCCCCCTTCCACTTCACAACAATATCAGGCTTGTCTGTGACATGCTGTGGGATGACCATCAGGGTTAGAGGAACAGGGTGCTGCTAAAGACCTTAATTCTGTTCCTCCGAGGTGAGCTGGGGACGCAGCAGCACAGTTAAAGTCTTGCAAAGATGAACAAGGGGCTCCCGAGGTAATAGGAGCCAAATGGGAAACAACCAAAGAACACCTCAAGGGAATTAAGGGGTGTTCCACCAAGAAGGTGACATGGCCAACAGCCCAGTTGAAGCACCTCTACACAAATGCACACAGCATGCCCAACAAACAGGAGGAATTAGAAATGTATGTGTGGTCAAGGGGTTATGATCTGGTGGCAATTACAGAGACATGGTGGGACAGTACACATGATTGGAATGTAGTCCTTAATTGCTATGTCCTTTTTAGGAAAGACAGGTGAACAAGGCGAGGTGGTGGAGTTGCTCTTTATGTGAGAGAGCAACTGGAATGTACTGAATTCTGTACAAGAGAGGATGAAGAGTGACTTGAGAGCTTGTGGGTAAGAATTAAGGGGCAGGCGAGTGTGGGTGATACTGTGGCGGGTGTCAATTACAGGCCACCTGATCAGGACAAGGAAGTTCATGAGGCCTTCTACAGGCAGCTGACAGCAGCCTCTCAATCACAGGCCCTGGTTCTTATGGGAGATTTCAACTACCCAGATATTTGCTAGAAGTCCTACACAGCCAGCCATCTGCAATCCATGAGGCTCCTCCAGCGCATCGATGATAACTTCTTGATGCAAATGGTGAATGAGCTGACTAGAAGAGGAGCGCTGATGGATCATATACTCACTAACAAGGAGAGTCTTTCTCATAAACAACTGAAAGAGATTTCAGGGCCTCAGGACAACTGGTAAAGAGATCAGGAGCTCAAGTTGTATTCTCCTCATAGAATCACAGAACAATTCAGGTTGGAAAAGACCCTTGGGATCATCGAGTCCAACCATTAGCCCCTACACTACAAGGTCACCCCTAAACCATATCACCCAACACCACATCTAAACAACACTTGAACACATCCAGGGTTGGCAACTCAATCACCT